GAGATAAAATCACTACATTAGGGGTAAATTTGGGTAATAACTATAAATGACAAGTTATTTTAAATAGAACATCCCATATATTTTTGTTGTGCATAAAACTCTGAGTAAAATTAATATACCATGTCAATATACCTAAAGTAAATAGTTATCGACATTGCGAGTTTGGATGGTTGGTTTCTATGGTAACGATTTTCGCTTTTGACAGTGGCAGTGACAGTTCTATATGCAGTGTTATTTAATAACAATAAAAATAATTATAATAATAATATTTATTTAATCCAAGAGATCTCTTACAGATATAGGATAGGTCAAAAATCATTTAACACAATGAAACAGCTCAAATTAACCGACACAATCCAAAAAATTAAACGCTAAAAACTTATTTACGGAGTAAAAAGCCTTACTCAAAAGTAAAGTTTTTAATTTGCAGAAAAAGTTGTTGTTTTCAAAGTTTTTAAATTGTGCAGGTAGGTAACTTATTGTATAAAATTGCTCCAATATAATATGGGTTAGATTCATACAATGCCATAGAATGATTGCAATATTGTAAATTCTTGCCATGTCTGGTTGGATAATTTTGTAAATTAAATTTGTGTAAGTTTATTTTAACAAATTTTAAGATTTCAAAAATAAATATGGAAGAGAGTGTCATAATTTTTTCTGAGATAAAAGTGTTTCTACAGGAGTCTCTGAGGTTTATTCCAAACATGCTTTTAATTGCTCTTTTTGTGGGATGAATAGTCTATTAACATTGCATGAATTTCCCAAGAAAATAATTCCATATCTAAGTAAGCTTTCAAAATTAGAAAAATAAAATATTTTTACAACTTGCCTACTACTAATATTGCGCAGTCTAAATAAAGCATAACAATTGCTACAACATTTGCTACACACTGCATTAATATGTGATTTCCAATTTAAGGACATATCCAAGTGCACACCGAGAAATTTAAAACTTGCGACCTGCTCAACTGATTTGCAATTTCGTTTTATTAATTTACTCTTTGTGTAATGTGCGCTGTATGTATAAAATTCCATTGTTACAGTTTTTGTTTGATTCATTGCTAAGTTAAATGATTTACAATATTTAAAAACATTAAAAAACAAAAAAATAAAGCAACAGAAAACATGCAGTATGTTGAGTGCAGCGAAAGAGAAAGAGAAGAGCAGAAAACAATTCGAGGAAAACCAAAGAAGGTAATGTCTAATTATAAAAAAATAACTTACTACAATTGTATTTTTTAATGTTATTTTAAAGTTTCAAACTCTCGCGTAACCACAAAAGTTTTAAACTTCCACTCAAAACTGGTCCTCTTCGAAAGTGGTTTTGATAATGAATCCGTAATTCAGTTACTCTGCTTACCCTAATTGAAGGGTTCTCGCAGTAGTGCACGCGCGTTAGCCCTCCCGTCTCCCCCGCCCGAACCGGAAACGCCCTGCAAGAGTTTACCGACAAGTTTAAATGCTTTCGCCCGATTTGTTTAATTCAATAATACATCCAGCTGGGCTTGCCGAACGCTCGCGTTGATAGCCTGTAAAAAACCGCTTTCGACGTAGCATCAGCTCGCGATAAAAATAATTGAAATTAAACTTGGTTTGCAAATGCATTACTTCGATTTTTAGATGGCCTAATGCCGCGTCTAAATTATAGAAGAATTTTAAAAGTATTAATCCCGGCGCATTCACCATTTTTGTAAACATATAGACCTTATTGTAGTATAGGCAAATTTAACAATTCCACCATCAATACTAGTATTTTGTGTGCGATATTTATTTTACTTGTCACCGAGGTTTCTCAGTAGGTATTCCCAAAAGCTGGGTTCGTCAATGTATTACATTGTAGAGCCCCAGAAATGCCCATAATTAGCGGGACATACAATGTTTTAAATAGTTTTTTTCGGTTTGTGGGACGAGAAGTAGGTACTTTTTAAGAACGGCCATGGAATATTTTGTTCACATTAAGAAGAATGCAGGGTTTTTTCATATTTAGAAAATTTGCCACCAGCACATCCTCCATACCCCTTAATCTTTTCCATTTTTAAGTTCGCCAAATTCCTTCTCCTCTGCAAGCTTTGACTTCGTTCACAGCAATTCAAATACGTATGTTTCGTCTTCGCGATATATTGAGTTATTGTTTAATTTTTATTATATTTATTTAAATACCATATTCAGCTTATTGCCCCCCAACGAGCATGTTTACCGCAACTATATTTTTAATTAATTATTTGACCGCGTGATTGAGGGCGTAAGTGTATTAACAACGAAGAGTTCGAACCGCAATAAACACTGATCCACCACCAGAGCTGTTCCGAGTATAATGAAATAGTACTTGAGTACTGAATACAAGTACTCTTATATAAAAGTACTCGAGTACCAAGTACAAGTACAATACCGAGTACACTTTAGTTTAGTGAAATGTTGGGAAAAATGCTAGAGAAATGGGGCGATTAAGAAATGAATTTAGAATCACTAGTGCAAAACTAAATACTAGTCGGCCTATTGCCTTCATCAAATATTGATATTTCACTTTATGTTAATTATCAAGGCCGGCTAGTATCTTGTTTTACTTTGCCTTATCTTTTTGAGGAATATTTTCACCTTATTTCTACCAAAATATAAACAAAATTACATTTTATACATAAGTAAAAACCTTTTGTTCAATGATTTTTCCTGTGTCTTTTTATTTAATGATTGAGGCTGTCTTAAGGCTGTAGTGTGAGGCAGGCTGGCTGAGGCACATATTTGCACATATGTGTCCACGCCAACCTCACCGCATAAAAATGTACTCATTGCATATTTTGGATGTACTCTAGTACAGGTAAAAGTACTCGATAATACGGGAAAATACTCGAGTACACGGGAAAGTACTCGAGCACATTTTTGCAATCTTAAAAATATCAAGTACAAGTATAAGTACATTCAAATTAAAGTACTCGGGACTGAGTACCGAGTACACTGAAAGTACTTGGAGTACAGTGTTTGAGTACTTGTACTCGAGTACCGCACAGCTCTGTCTACCACGCGACATTATACCCGCTTTATCCCGCTTTGTGCATCGCAACCGCTTGAAACCATCGCTTAGAGCCTTATTGCCAGAAATCACGGCCCTGAGTCATCATCAACACCAGCAACAAGGTAGAACTTTACTTTATTAGTATTCTTACTACCCAGGTTTTTTCTATTCATAAAAATCAGTCAACTAACACCACCATCCCCTATTTCTCACATTCATACTGCCTACCAACGTATCTCAGGCTTCTTTGGTTATATCTGAAGGATTATATATCTTTTTCAAATTTATCATCCTGACACTTTGGTTGTTTCTATAATCATTCATACACTGAAAAAAATATGAATTCAACTCTTTATGCACTTTAAATACAAGCAATGGTTTTTGCACGTTTACTTAACCATCTAAAAATGTCAAATAATATTTTTTAATTGAACAAATATTATTCAAATGAACAAAATGAGAATATTTGTTCTAATCTGCTAATCTGGTTAATTAAACATTCTTGATATGTCGGAGTAATATTTCCAAAATGGTTGTGCTAACATTTTTAAGATGTTAAGGTAAATTTCTTGAAATGTCCAGGTAACCTTTTTAGCATATTCGTTGAACACCAATAAAATGTTAAATTAAAATAATTTGCGCTAATGTTGGGTTAATTGGGTTGGGTTAACATTCTGAAAATGTAAAAGTAACATTCTCTAAAGGGTGGTATTCAAAACAAAATTATGGAATTAATATAAAGAGAAAGAATTGAACCTTTCCTCGCCAGAGTTTTTGTTTTGAGTGCGTTCCACCTACTTCAAATTGAAGTAGGTGGAACGCACTACTTCACGCACCTACTTCAAATACCGACGACAGAGTCGGACAGACAGCTGATTCGACCTATATTGGGGGTCTTATCAGTGTCGGGCAATTTGGTGTAGTGAAAGTCACACCCAAAACAAACGGCTACCTGAGCTTATATACTCCTATCGTAAGTTAACTGAGGCGAGATGTAAGAACATCACGTGATCAACGCCGTCTAATGACGTGGCTAGGGTGTTCGAAGCGCCCTTCGCGGCAATTTTAAGAATGCAAAATTAACAAATTTTAAAGTAACATTTACAATTTGTTAAATGAACAAATTTAATGTTTTGGATTTAAAGAGCAACTAAACGTTAATTTAATAGTTTTTTTAGGTAATCCTAAAAATTTCAGTATTTGATTCAACCAATTCCAGCTATTAAATCAAAATAGGATAAAAATTGTTATTCAAAAAATTAGTTTATGTTAAATTTAATATTTTAACTGTCAAATGAACAAATAAACTTTGACAAACTCGGACTATTGCTTTGACACCAAAATATAGATTAATCCAATAGGTTTTTTCATGAAACAACATTTTCAAAAATGACATTTAGGCAAACGTTAACTCAACTACATTATTTTTTTCGGTGTAGCATGATCCATGGAAAAATCTCATGATTTGCTAGCTCAGCTTTTTATGTTAACATAGTGTTTTCCGCAATATAACAATTTTGTGGTAGTTCTAACCGAGCCTGATTTTCCTTTTAATTTGGAAATAATTTTACGTGTTCAAGAAACTTGACACTTAAATCTTATTCGAGAATAATATTAAATGTGGGGAAATGTTTTCTGCATGTAAAAGCTTAAAATTCAAATTTTTAACCATGTGTTTTACTAAACAAATATTAGAAATATTCCCCAACACCAAAACAAAACGCAAAGTGCTTAAAGTAATAAGTAGTAAACACAATATAAGCAGGCTAGTTTTAACTTTCCACTTAGTAACAGTAGATACAAGAAAGAGAGAGAGAGAGATCTTGATGATTAATAAAGGTCTTAAGAAACAACATGCTTTACAGACTATGTGCTCTATGTGTTAATTAAAGACTACAAGATAGAATTGTTGCATTAATTCGTCAGGGCCATCAAATATCATCTTTTCTTCCTTCTATAGAAGGTATTAAACTTTAGATTAACTCACCCCAGCTGGAAAACTTCCATCGTCGGAAAGCTGCTTGATGGCCAGCATAAAAGGGGTGTTCGTCCGCTTAACGATCTCGTTAAAGCTGAGATTGATGTTTCGCGGCCTTCGAAACTCGAAGTACGTCGAGACCGAGGTGCCGCAGTCCTTCAGCAGCGTACCGAACAATCGCATGAAACCCGAACCCAGCTGCACCAGCTCCATTTTCCTGTCGATGATGAAGTGCCACGGGAACGCCTTGCAAAACGTGGCAACGCCGACTCGCAGATCGCACACGTTTTTCGAGTAGACCTTCTCTATGTCTAATTCGATTTCCGCCTGCTCTGATTCCGTCGTGTCGACCACCCTGTCGATTTTCAAGCTGAAACAAAGAACAGGCAGGTGACAAAAATAACAAAAAACAAAGGTGACGGTTGACAAAAGTATACTTAATATTCAGTGGCGTAGCTAGCCTCGAGGGGGCCAAGTATCAAAAATCTGGCAGGGGCCCTTAAACGGGAAAAGCTGCTGACAAAAAAATGTCTGGATAATATATGTATGTACGAGGTGTGTTCAGAAAATAACGGGAATTGTTTAATTTCGCGGGTTCGGAGGGTTCGGTTGTCAAAAAATTTTCTTTATTATTTTGGTATATATGCCCCCGAAGTATGATAAAAACTTTAGCTGTTTTCATTGTTTACTTTGTCTGTGGCAGCCGCTAAGGTTAGACGTGTTTTATAAGCTCGGCGATTTATCGTTCGTTAAAAGAAATAGATCAAAGAATTTGTATCCAATTTTGCTTAAAACATGAAATAAATTCTGTGAAATGTTAACAAAGGCCTATAGTGAGTCTGCTATAAGTAAAACAAGAGTTTACAAGTGGTATAAGAGTTTCCAAGATGGCCGTGAAGACGTTGAAGATAATGAACGCCCCGAACGCACAAGCACATTAACAACCGATAAAAACATGGAAAAAGTGGAAGAAATGGTTATAAACCATCAGAGAAGTCGCTGATGATGTTGGTATATCGATTTGCTCATCCCATGAAATTTTTTCGAATGTTTTGGGTATGAAACGCGTGGCAGCAAAATTTGTTCTAAAATTGTTAAATTTTTGGCCAAAAACAATACTGAAATGATGCCCCAGCCTCTATATTCGCCATACATGCCTCTCTCTGACTTTTTCCTATTCCCAAAAATAAAGAGAACCTTAAAAGGCCGTCGTTTTGCAAGAATAGATGACTTTAAAAGCGCATCGCGGAAAGAACTAAAGGCTTTCCTCAAGATCAAGTTTTAGAAGTGTTTCGAGTATTGGAAGAGCACATGTGCAGAATATCCAATGGGGTCTATTTTGAAGGCGACATTAATTTAAACGAATAAATAAATATTTGTTTCAAAAAACGAAAATTCCCGATATTTTCTGAACACACCTCGTATACATTAGGGTTTTTTTTTCACGTTTAATTTTATTTTTTCGCTCCCCACTCAAAATCTTGTTAAAAATTTGAGCCTAAGATATTAACTCTAAGTACTTTCCCAAAGCGTATAAAGATTTCCCACTTAAAATGCACGAAAACTTTGATTTTTTTTTAAATATCTAGGGATTTATTTTTTTAACATGTGGGTAATATGTTTTTTGCTTACGCATGTCGAAGCCAATCGGCCCGATTGAATCGGGTATCATTGATACGGCTGATACCGCGGTAGCTACGCCCCTGTTAATATTAGAAGCAAGGTTGTGTAAATGTAAAGCTACTTTGATCTTCCTTAATAGCCTTACATTGTGTGTGCAACAAGTCTTGACATCCTTGATATAAAGCCTGATAAAGGGGTGTACTTAGTCAATTTGTAATGTAAGTCGGTGTGAGCCAGGGGCGAACCGAGGATAAAGCCGCAAAATTATCGCGTTAGAGGCTGAAATGCAGCACACGGTGTTAATATGTACAATTAATTAACCTTAAGAGGGCTGGATGCATTGGCAGCGTGGGTATCTGTCTTGCTTTAATTTTAATTCGAATATTCAATTAAATAGCCCTGGCTATTCGTTAGAGACAGAATAAATTATACCCTTTGAAGACCGAACGTTAATTGTTAAAATAGTTTGCGTTAAATTAAATTGCTGTAATATTTTAGCCTTTGTTGGCTTAAATTATTTGTATCTATTACCTTTGTATTTTCTTAACTGAAATATTTTTTGATGTGATTTTTATTTTTATATAAATGCTTTTGCTTTTGGTGAGAATTATATTAAAAATAAATTTAATAAAACTATCTGCGTTTAAAATTAAAATTAAATTATTGGTTTTAACAATCTAAATTTAATTTTAATATTCGTTTTAGTTTTTTTAATTGTAATTGTTATTTCGTTTAAACCTATAAATTATCAATGATTTATTCATTTAATTTTGATTTTAAATTCTCTATTTGCCATTAGATATAAATTACTCAAATTTATTTGTTTATTAAATTTAATTATGTATGTTAAAGCATACTTAAAACCTAAATGAACAAATTGATAAATACTTTTAAAATCATGATAAATTATAAAAAGTATAATATTCATTTATTAAAAACGTAAAGCACTGAATTATTTGACATTCCACAAAACATCTCGAGATTTAAATTATATTATGGACTAATATTTACAACACTTCACTTGCCAGTAAAAGAAAATTTTAATTGCTTATTAAATCGTTAGTTATAAGATCTTATAAAAATTCTACGAGAAAAATATCAGAGACAATAACAAGTATATTTGCAAAAATGTCTATAATAATTAATTTTTTAATTAATTAAAAATACGTTTAAAAAAAAACCTGGATAAAAAAATTTAAGAGCATAGTTAAAAGATATGAAAATAATGGGGAAGAATATTCAATTTCTGGCAATAAATTAAATAAGAATTTAAAGAGGAATTTCCAGGAAATCTGCAGAAGACAGCCATTATTATTTGATGAAAAAAACTCGTATTGAATAAAAGCTATGAATTCATATTAATCTTTTTTGGGTAGGGCTAGTTCAATATTATTATACAGGGTGGCCCATTTAAGATAGAAACACCCCCGTAACTTTTTTATTTGTTACTCGATTTTAATGAACAAAGGCTTAGAATAAAAAACTCTATATTTTTAATGTCACGTGACAGATGCCTACTATAACGTTTTTTCTATGAGAAAATTCGGAAAAAATTATTAGGGTCGTTTTTTCGAAAAAAATAAGTATACACCACTGAATGCGGCATGCTTCAAAATGGGTACAAACCAAATTTCATTAAAAACGTACAATTAATGACTATTTTGAACAAGTTTTTTTTATTTATAACGAAAAATAAAACACATTTAGGAGGTTTAGGAGAAAAATAAGTAACTCACTGAACGCGGCATACTTTAGAATGGGTTAATTTCATCAACAATTAACTATTAATAACTATATTATATTATTAATAACTATTTTATAAATTTTCAACATGGCCATTTTAGTTTTTGTTTTGTATCAATTTATGTTTATAAGGTGGTAAAATAAACTTGTCTGAAATAGTTATAAATAGTTAATTTTTGATGAAATTAACCCATTCTGAAGTATGCCGCGTTCAGTGGCGTACTTATTTTTCTCCTAAACCTAATAAATGTGTTTTATTTTTCGTTACAAATATTTAAAAAAAAATTCTAAAATAGTTATTGATTATTCGTTTTTAATAAAATTTGGTTTGTACCCATTTTAAAGCATGCCGCATTCAGTGGCGTACTTATTTTTTTTTTAGAAAAAACGACCCTAATAATTTTTTCCGAATTTTGACATAGAAAAAATATTATAGTAGGCATCTGTCAAGTGACTTTGAAGATATTTTGTATTGCTTAGATGGAGGTTTTTATACTCTATCTTATGAGCCGTTGTTCATTAAAATCGAGTAAGAAATAAAAAATGTATATATATATAAATATATATATACATGTATACATATATATTAGGGTGTGCCAAAAAAACTCGATATTTTTTTTTCTTGCTCTCCACCCAAAATATCGTAGAATATGTCCGAACAAATATCCTGTTAAAAGCGGAGGTCATAATTTCAATTTTAAGAGGTTAATTAGCACAGAAAACTGACTTTTTTACCTTATTTATTCTTGCAACCTAGGAAGAAATTTTTTTTTCATAAAATCCATGTCCAAATCTTATAAAGCATTAAATTTGGACCAAAAAATCTTATAAGCCGAATTTTTATTTTCATTATTTGATTTTTTACAGAGCTTTAAATTTAAAATTTTACGTTTTTTGCCTTTTTCAGCTAAACAATAATACTGCAAGGGCGCTGTTAGTAAATTCTTTGAGGAATTTAAATTTGAATTTAAATATCAACATAGTTATTATAAGTAAACCGTGTTTTACAATATGTGTACCTATCAAGCTCGAAATAAATGAAATAATGTACTGAATATGAATATTATAATAAATATTAATGTAATAATTACAGATTCTGAATTTTTTGTACGATAATAGTTAGTAAGATATTATTATTAGTATTTTTATAATAATAATTCACTGTAAACAATGGAATAAGACATGAAATTCTTATAAAATTTTGTATCTATTGTCAATTGTTTATCTGATTTACGTAAAAACCATCGAAGTAAGCTAATAAGTCTGTAAATTTTAATGATTGGCAGTACATTAAATTTTACTAGGACAATTTTTCCGAAAATTCAATTTTTTTTGTAATTCTCTATTGACTTTTTGTGCTAACATTAATATTTCACTAACAAAAAGTTAATAATACAAAAATGATGACTTTATACGCCTGTAACTTTTAGAATATTGACGATAAAAAAAATTCGTCTAAAACTTTTTTGTGGTCCATCTGACAAGCTAAAAAATTGCCATTTGACTTTTTCGTCTAACTTCAATAGTTTAGCTGAAAAAGGCAAAAAAAGTCAAATTTTAAATTTAAAGCTGTAAAAAATCAAATAATGAAAATAGAAATTAGGATTAATAAGATTTTTTTGTCTAAATTTAATGCTTTGTAAGAATAAATAAGGTAAAAAAGTCAGTTTTCTGTGTTATTTAGGTAAGCGGCAAAACTTCAGATTCGATGAAGGACCTCTTAAAATTGAAATTATGAGCTCCGCTTTTAAGAGAATATTTGTTCGGACATATTCTACGATATTTTGGGTGAAGAGCAAGAAAAAAAAATTTCGAGTTTTTTGGCACACCCTAATATATATATGTATGTATATATATATATATATATATATATATATATATATATATATTTGTTCTACTAACAATGCGACCTCTTCTAACATGCAGCCGCCATTCACTACGGCCTCAGCTGATTTACGGCCTCAGTATATTGAGTCCGTAATGTTTTTGCCAATTTTTACTGTC